TTTTTTAGATGCTAATCCTCCTTTGGGTTGTCCATGTTTATGTTTTCAGGTTTTCTTAGTTCTAGTTTCATCACTTTTACTTCCCTTTACCTTTTATCATTCAATTAGTTTCACTTGTTCCTTATTGTACTCCAGCTGTGTTCTTTCCCCCTCATTAGCCTCCAGTATATTTAAAGCCTCCATTTGCATGTGTTCACTGTTGTGTTGCACTGCTTGTTTCCTGCATGCCTGTGAGCTTTTCCCCATTTGATGCCACTTGGTGGATGATTTTTTCTCTGTTATGTGACTTTGCATTTTGGGTTTGCACTTTCCACCACACACAGGATATAAAGGCTTATCCACAAATTTGATCAAATCTATATAATAAGTCATGTTGGCACACAGTATTTAGATTTCACGTGAATTATTAGAAACCTGTATTATAAGTAAAGATGGGTGGGTTCAAATAGTCCCACCAACATAAATTGAATTGAATTGAAAGCCTTTATTGTCACTATACATAGTGCAACGAGATTAGAAACAGCTCTATAAAAGTGCACATGTGCTTATAGCACATTATAAAAACTATACAATAATGTAACTATACATTTACTATAAATATAAATACACAGTACAGTGCTGACAGAGACAGACAGTCAGAGAATTGATGATATTTCAGATATTTTGAGTTGAGTATGGTGATGGCTTTTGGGGAGGAAGCTAAAGCACCTGCCAGAGGGCAGTAGGTTGAAAAGATTGTAGCCGGGGTGGGTAGTGTCCTTTAAAATGTTTCTGGCCCTACTAAGACAACGGGAGTTGTAGACGTCAGACAAGGAGGGCAGCGGGCAGCCAATGATTTAAATGATAAAGCAGACAGTATGAGCATGTGGTGTGAAATATCAGTTTAATGTGGTCATGTCAGAGCTACAATACAAAGAAAATCCAAAACTCAATTACTGTGAACTCACTGCGTGTCTGTGCCTCTCAGACTGATTGAAGTCCATAAGATGATGATCGAGGAAGAGGAGGACAAAGCGAAGTCTGCAGGACTCTGCCGTCTGCCTGTGAAGAGTGACCGGTCCAAACAACAACCTACAGACTTCACCGATGAAGCTGGACCCTCAGACACAGAGTAAAATCACTGCTAGTAACTCGTCTCCAGGAATATCCAATCCATCCAGTTCTTAACTGCTCATCCAGTTTAGTCACAGATTGGCTGAGCCTCTATCAGCTGACTTGGATTTAAAAAATGAGCTATTCAGTGTGTTTCACAGAGCAGCTCATTGTTCTGCTTTATTTTAGCATAACTAATAATGCACCTTATCCATGTTATCATTTTAACTTCTGCAGTATTTGAATTACTGAGATGTGTTGGGTATTGTGTTGTTTCTTGTTACATTTTGCTTATTAGTAGACTTCGCACTATATTATACCTTTACATTAATGTCACCTTTATGTAATGAATGATTGAAATAGTTTGTAAAATAAATAAAATTTAATCTTAAATGCTTGTATTTTTATATCTGATGTAGAACTGGTAAAAAGAGTTGACAATTAAAAACTTCACCTTTTCCAGAAATTACTTCTTTGCCATGAGCTATGCACACTGCCCCAGTGGTATCTAAAGTATTTTACTGGGTATCGGTATTAAGTTAAAAATTCAAGTCTGGTGAGAACTGTAATTTAGACCAATTTAAATGACTTTCAACTGAGAATTTCTTAATGTCTGATGACATATGAATAAACATATCTTTGTTTGCAGAAGTCAGAGGTCACAGGCTTCAGGGATCAGCTTTCTGTCTCAGAAGAGTGACCGGTCGATTGGTAAACCCCCAGACTCCCCAGACTTCAGAGAAGAACCTGGACCACCACACACAAAGTAAGAACCTGACCTGAACATTTAATCAAATCTGTAGTGATGAAGAGGCATACATTATACTAATAGTAGCAATGCACTGATTGCAATTCCCATTTTCAGTTTTGTGTAAGTGTGACCTGCTGACATCAACTAACAAGTAAAAATCAAGGTTTGTTCATCCAGTAAGGGTTCGCAAAGCTAGTCCCCATCCCCCGGATTAACAAGGTCTGCATCAGCTGCCGCTCCTCGACTGTGCAAAATAGAGAGAGAAAAACATTATATACAGTAAGTAAGTAGATATATACAAAGAGGACATTATGCGCAATAAGTGAGTAAATTATCAGAATCAGAATCGTGTTTATTGGCCAAGTATATGTGCAGACACATACAGGGAATTTGGTTCCGGTAGATGGTGGCTCTCAAGCACAGCAAT